GATGGCTGAAGGGCTAACTACCATACATCCAGGACTGTTCTCAGGGCTTGATCTTTGATGGCTAAAAAGTGTATCTACCTCCCACTCTATACTGAAGAGTAAGAGCTATATTTGTGTCAGTGAATCCTGTTCAGCGATGAAAGATTTCACAGAACTATTTAAGTTTTCATGTAAGTTATATCTCCAGGCTTTGGAAGGAAAAAGTAACTGACACAATAAAAAGCATCAGTAAGAATCTCAGGCCCTAAATCTTAGTCCTTCTGTCACTCATCAAATTCCCTTTCCTTCATGTCCTTTTCTACTATTCATTCTCATATGTTTTTATCGGAGCTTGAGATAATGTCAAATAATACTTTTTTAAAGAAAAATATTCAGAAGTGAAAGCAGAGTTTTGTTTTGTTCCCTCAAGACATACACCTATTATTAAAATACAATTCATAATACAGGGAGTGTTGATTTTACTTCAATTTGCTTCTAGAGTTAAACAGAAAAAAGAAGAAAATGACATTGTAAAGAAATTTATCTCTTTTTGGTTAAAAAAAGATAATCTGTAACTATGGATTGTGGAAACTAAATAGAAACTTTTTCAAATAGTGCTTCAAAGTTTTCTTTGAATACATATGTATATATATTATTTATGAATGTATTACATGTATATTCAGACATTCTGAATTCAAAGGCATGATACAGGCATAAGCTTAAAAAGTAGTTGCTTCATATTTTGAAGAATATACACTTTAATATTTCTATAGTTTGAATTCAAGTGAAGGAACAATGACTTGTTTCTTATGCATAAGAATAAAGAACACTTAAAATGTGCAGTTTTAAGTTTACACATTTAAATAGTTCTATAATTGTATGAAAGAACACTAGACCCTTTTTATTATTTGGGGGATCTTAAATAGAAAATCTTGAGTGTCTTTGTAAATGAATTATATGACTAAAGCATCTTGTGTGGGCATGGATTATTTTTACAGCAGTATTTTAATACCTCTGAAAAATTTAAAGACTAACTAGATAAGTAATAAGTTATAGTTTGTTTGGGGAATTTTAAGAATTTCATATGCTCTTCATGTCCCAATGTGGTGATATGTTCTCTGTATTAAGGGTACTAGCAGTTGTGAAGATTCGAGGAACTCTTCTTCCTTCCCTCTCTTCCTTTCTCTTCTCCCCTCCCTCTCCCTCTCTTCCTCTCCCTCTCTTCTCACTTCCTTCCTTCCTTTCTTTTCTTGGCTGCATGCAGTTTGGGGGTATTCATTATGTCCCTTTGTCACAGCACTCTAGGGCACTTTGCTTTGTATATGTTGGAGCTTCACACCGTAGACTTTTCCTGGCTGGAAAGCCTTGGGGAATGCTTCCTTTCTGATGCTGCTGTTTCTTCTTTCCTCACCTACAAACCTGTCTTTCCTCTATGTTTTATAAAGTCTCTGTCTCTTTGTATCAGTTGTTTCCTGTTGGGTGTGGGTCCTACCTTGTCCCGGGGGCTCATAAAGAGACTCCTGCGGACCCTTCAAATCTCAGCCCAAGCACTCTGCTTTCCTAAGCCTCCTTCTCGCCATTGCTCTCACAGAATCTTCACCCTCCATTTTGGGGCTTTTCATTCCTGGCCTCTTAATTGTCCACTCTTTGAAATTGGAGATATTACCCTATATATTTAGGTTTTTAGTGTTCAGTTTTTAGTAAATGAATGAAAAGATGGAGTCATGGCCTAAAATGAAACAAAATACCTTTAAAATCGAATAAAGAATGAAGAGTACTGATTGTCTTTCGTGGTCATCATAAGAGGGTATTGAATGATATTTCCCCTTGTAAGTTCTTGAGAAATGCCACTGTAGCTTGCTCAGTTTTATTCAGCTGAGAGGACTGCATAGGGACATTGTATTTCTGAGGCAGCTGACGGCTTTCAGATCGGCAGACCCTCCTGGCAATCTCACAACAACTTTAGTTGGAGAGTGTGATGTCAATGCTTTTTCAAAGAGGTTGGCTTCTAATTACTATGTCATGTGTGATTTCATCCAATCTCCTCCTCCCTCCCCCCCCCACCCCCGCCACCAGCAAACAAATTACATTTATCATTCTCTGTATGATGTTGTAAATTTTAAGTTTTCTAAAACGATCCCATCGTTTCCCATGCTGTCTCCTGGTCCATTGCTAATACCAAAAGATTTGGTGAGTACATCAGTATTCATCTGATTCTGATCGTTTTCCACTTCCCCTTTCTGATGCTGGCACTAAGACTTGAATTCTGAATCTGGCACTTTTTTCCACTGAGGAAATGGAGCAATGGTGCTCTGTTCTTTGAGCCACACCCTCATTTCTGGCTTTTTGCTTGTTAATTGATAAGACTGAAAATTTTGTCTGTCTGGGATGGCTCTCAGCTGCAACCCTATGTAAATGGTCATGTGATAATGTATGACGTATTATGATCAAATAGCATAGTATTTAGTAATATGAATTATTTGCATGCAAAAAGATGTGTGAATGATAGATCAAGGTGCTGTGTTCTTCTGGGCATATCTGTCACTAGACCATGGAGGGATGAGGATTTGTTCCCATGGTTCCTCGGCTCTGCCTGCAGTGCCTCTGGCCCTGGAGACTCTCCTCCCTGTCTTGTTGCTGTGTATCCCTGTGTTCCCATGGGACTGTATACATGAGTCAACACAGGCATTTCATTAGTTATTTGCTTCTCACACTACACTTGTATAGTCCTTGTGGAGTTTCTGTTATATGCAAATGCATACAATTTCATTAAAAAAATAATGTGCAGTCCTTTGGGCAGTCTGTGTCAGTCAGTCATGTTATCTGGCGGATGGACTGGAGCGGTTTGGGAGTCACAATACAGTCTGTGATTACCTTTATCCACGATCAGAAGCTAGACTAGGAGCTCCTAAGCTCTCCTTTATCTTCACCACATTGTCATGGTGTGAGCCTGATCCATCACTAGAAATGTATTGTGAAATAGTTAATGAATGTTTGCAGAATGCTTAGAGAAATTTTAATGAGAAGAGGAGACTTGTGGTTAGCGTAAATGAACTGATATTTTTTCTTTTTGTACCCACAACACATTGGGAAAATATGCATTCAAGAATAAGTTTTAGTGTGTTAAAATATTTTGACTGGTTAACAAAATTTAGCACTTACAAACAAGCATCAATACAGTGATCACAGAAATAGAGCATTTCAAATGTAAATTGTCATAATGAAGAGGAAAGAATCATCAATGCATAGTTGTTTATTTTATTCATTCAAAACATGTTAAATGTCAAAGCAAGTCCTTATTTTCTCTAGCTTCTTTCAGAAGAGGCAAGACAAGTACTCCTTATAATGTAATAATACATGCATATGTTTTTAAAATTATTTGTAGTGCAGGATCAGTTTATTAAAGTTTAAATCTGTACTTTGGCAAAATAGCGTAATAATGAAGAATGAAATAAAATACATGTTCCATTTGACAGGTATTACCCTTATCTATTTTGTGCTTCCACAATGATAATTAGTAATGGACAGAAATGCATTGGTTCACTGGTGGGGAGGATGGGAATTCCAGGTCCTGTGAGGACCTCCTTACTGTGTCAAAGCATGATGGAGGAGTCACAGGCCAGGGAAGAGGAGGGAGGAAGGAAAGGAGGGAGGGAAGAAGCCAGCACCTATACTGAGAAGATTCTTTCTTTCTTTGTGTGTGTTGTGGGGTGGGGTGGGACAGAATGGTATTTGGGCTTGGACTCAGGAACTCATGCTTGCTAGGCAGGCACTCTACTGCTGAAGCACACATTTAGCTCTTTTTGTGTGTGTTGGTTATTTTGAGATAGAGTCTTGCTTTTCACATGGGCATGCACCTGTGGTACAATCCTACTTTACACTTCCTGCCATAACTTGGATGGCATTCACATGCCACTGTACAAACCCAGCTTCTCCAGGCTGGCCTGAAACCACAATCCTTTTCATGTCTCTTTTCTCTGTCATGTAGCTGGGACAATAGACATGTGCCTCCATTCCCAGCTATTGGTTGAGAAAGGGTTCTGGTATATTTGCCCCAACTAACCCCACGCGATGATTCTTCTGATCCCAGCTTCCCAAATAGCTAGGATTAAAGGTGTGAGCCATTGGTGCTCCAGCCTGATACACTTAATCTTTATATTTATCTGTTATGGGAAGGCAACTAGCTTGTAGACTAGCATTGATTTGCCTTGTTTACAGTACAAATGACCATAAATACTTAACCTCGCAGTGATGGTGCCCCAGTTCCTCGTTTGCAAAGTTAAGATAATAATATACTATACTTACAGCAGGACCATTGTGATATTTAAATGCCTTAATGAATGCAGAGTACTTAAAACAATGTCTGATACATAGCAAGCACTACATGAATGCATTATTGTTATTATTGTTTTCATAATTATCATTGGAGGTGATGACAAAGCCTGGTCTCTTTTTTTCAATTAATTCTCTGGATTTTGTAGTGCCTTAGACTTCTTCCTCCTAAAACATACTTAGTCCATGGTATGACTTGACATTCAATAATACCTTTGGCCCTAAACATCAAATACTCTCGGAGCACAGATGGAGAAGCATTATTGATAGTGACAAGCAGACTAGGGAAAGCATGGAGAAAGGGCCATAGAAAGAGGAGGGCAAGAGGAGGTAGCACACAGGGCAGAGGGCACTCTGACCCACCATTGGGTCATGCTCTGTTGAAGCACCATTGCCTTATTACCACAGCCAATGTTTCTCTCTCCCATTGTTATTTTTCTCTTAAGCTTTTAGTAGATACGATTACTAGGTAAAAGTGATCTACGGTCTAAATTCATGATGTCCTATTAAGATGACCAACCACTGTCTCTTTGCTCTTTATTTCTTGCTGGGAATTCTTATTGTTGAATTTGTTGAGGGTGGCGGGGCCGTGGGTGGAGAAGCAGTCCCTTGGTGGTGGGCAGATTGTCTTCTAACACATCATCTTTTTTACCCAGGTTATCTTTGGAAGAAAACCAGTTGGAGAAAAAATGAAGTTCCTTCTCTTCACACTTTTTGGCATTGTTCAATTTTTATCCCTGGCCTCTGGGAAATCTATACCCAAGAATAAATTCTCTCATAAATCCTTGAAAGAAATGAAAGAAGAAATAGCTGGCTATGAAGATGTTGCTGAATCACTGATCAATCTTGCTGTGTATGGGAAAGCCAAAAACCGGTCCTATGAGAGATTGTCATATTTTATTGATACGGTTGGACCCCGGCTGAGTGGTTCTAAGAACCTAGATAGAGCCATCGAAATCATGTACAAAAACCTACAGCAGAATGGGCTGGACAGTGTGCACCTAGAACCCGTCAAAATACCCCACTGGGAGAGGGGAGAAGAATCTGCCGTGATGCTAGTGCCACGACTTCACAAAATGGCTATTTTGGGTCTTGGAAGCAGTATAGGAACGCCACCTGAAGGTACTGTTTACCTTTTCCATTCTTCTGCTTTTTAATACAAATAATGTCAGTTGATACAATTGATCACAAAATGCATGATTTCTGTTGTAATTAGGATCTTAGAAAACACAGTTTTCCATTCTATTGAGTTAATGAATCCTCTATTCATTTTTTATATTAATAAGTATTTTATTGTGAAAATACCATACAGAGGGGTTACAATTGCATGAGCAAGGTAGTGAGTACATTTCTTATCAAGATAGTTGCCTCCTCCTTTGTTTCCCCTTCCCATCCATCTCCCTCTTCCCCTCCCCCCTCTCCGCCAAAGTTGTAAAGTTCATTTTTCGACATAGCGTCTTGTACATCTCATTATTGCAATGGGTCCACCTGTGCCCCTATTTAAACAATTTGTTTTTTCTCTTCCCCTATTCTTATGTCCTTTTTCTTTCTTTTTCCTTTCTCCTCTTCTATTTATTTTCTGAAAGAAAATTGTACAGGATCCCTTTTGCTTTGGCAGTGCCAGAGTTTAAACTCAGGGCTTTGTACATACAAGGCAAGTGTACTACTTATTGAGCCATACGCCAAGCCCTTTTTCATATATAGCTGGTTTTAGGTAGAATCTCCTACTTTTTTTTTGTGTAGGCCAGCCTCAGATTGTGATCCTTATAGTAATGCCTCCTTGTAGCTAGATGGCAGACTCAAAGTATACTACAGTGTCCAGCTTGTTTGTGAAGATGAGGTCCTACTAACTTTTTGCCCAAACTGGCCTCAAACAAATCTTCCCCATCGCCTTCTCCCAAATAGCTGAGGTCAGAGATGTGAACCACCATGCCTGGCTTCTGTAGGATTGCTGTTTAAATGCAGAATCCATACCTACTGGTTCGTGTCACTTACCAGCTCTATCACTTAGTAATGCCTAGCTAGTGAAAAATTAATATCATTATGTAAAGAATTTAAATATATACAAATAAAATACAAAAACTGTAACTCCCTCCATGTGGTCATAACATGCAAAATCTACTGAAATAGGGAACAGATTCTTGCAGGTTGAATTGATTGGAGCTTATTACTTTTGTAAAACCCAAAGTCTCTAATATAAGGAATTATCAAGGGTTGAGGCCTATCTTTACTGAATAATTCCTTGTCTCAAATTTCTCCAACAATACAATACCTGGATCAGAAAAATCTAACAAGTTAACAATGAGATATATCAATCAGCCTTAGATGTATTCATGGATTAATTTCCTGTGGTAGAGGGGTTAGTTTCTATTCTTTTGCCTTTTCTCTTATGCCAGAAGAAAAACTTGTAGAGAAATAAATTGTCAGTTTTTCAAAAAGACTTACTGAAATATAATTCATGTACTATAATAGTCATATAAATTTAAAACATAAACTCAGAGTGAATTTTACTGTATTCCTAGCATTGTACAACCAAATTATGGAGATTTAGATTGTAGAATATCATCTAGTTGTAGAATATTTTGTCATACTGCCCTCAAAAGAAATAACCTCAAGCATGTCAGCAGCCATCCTATTTTCCTCTCTTAATACTAGCCTAAGCCCTAGACAAGCACTAGTTTGATTTCTGTCTTTATGGATTTGCCTATTCTGGACAATTCATGTGAAAGGGATAATGTATTTGGTGACTAGATTCTTTTAGGTAGCATTCAGCTTTCCAGGTTCATCTTTGTGATGGTAGATATAAGTGTTTCATTCTTGCATAATTGTTGAATAATATTTTATTTTATAGATGTACCTCATTTCTTTTTATTAGTTGATGGACATTTTGATGAATATAAATATAAGCATCTGTGCATAAGACATACCTTTTCTTTGCTCTTAGGTATATATCAAGGGATAGATATTAGGTCATTTGGTAATTCTATATTCAGTTTTTTGGGACACTGCCAAACTGTTTTCTAAAATGGCTGTACCTTTTTATATGTATATGTGTGTATACACACAAATATATATATATATATATAAAACATATGTGTGTGTACTTTACCCAATATTTATCAACCCTTCCTTTTATGTATCTTTTGTATTATTGCTCTCCTAGAGAGAGAGAGCAATGAACAATATCTCATTGTAGTTGTGCTTCGCATTCTACTAATGAAAAATGGTATCAGGCATCCTTCTATGTCCCCAATGGCCATTTAAATGTCAATTTTGGAGACATATGTGTTCAAATTATTTGGTTAATTTTTAATGAGCATATTTGATTTTTAGTCATTATTTCTTTAATTGTAAAAGTTATGTGTTCTGGATATGTCCTTTCCCAGATATAGATATTCTGTTCCATACTAAAGATCATTTCTTTACTATTTTTGTTTTTTTTTCCTTACTACTTTTTCTTTTTTTTCTATTTGGCTCATGGTTTCAGAGGGTTCAACACATTAGGCGTGGCCCTCAGAACATCATGGTAAGGGGGTATGTTCTCCTCAATGCACAGAAATAGGAATACAGGAGCTAAGCAAGTTAATAAGGGAGTCAGCCTGACATGGAAATAAATGCCTATAATCCCAGCACTTGGAATCGTGAGACAGGAGGATTGCATATTCTAGGCCCTGTCTCCAAATCAGAAAATACTCAAGTGTTTATTACCTTTGTTTAGGTAATGCTTTCCTTCCTTCTTTCTTTCTTTTTTTTTTTTTTGGTTGGTTGGTTGTGGGGCCTGACCTGTGGGCTTGGGCGCTGTCCCTCAGATCTTCAGCTCAAGGTGAGTGCTCTACCACTTGAGCCACAGTGCCATTTCTGGCTTTTTTTCTGCTTATGTGGTACTGAGGAATTGAACCCAGGGCCTCATGCATGCAAGGCAAGCACTCTACCACTGAGCCACCTTCCCAGCCCAGGCAATGCTTTCTTATAAATGACGCCAATATCACAGGAAGTTATTTTTTAAAAGTGGGCTGAATCAAAATGAAAGATTTCTGCAGCAAATATTATCATTAAGATAGTGATGAAAAACCAGGGTGGTGGCTCATACATGTTTATTTTTTCACTGTATTTTAAATTACAGAACCTCTATCAATCTATCATGTTCATGTATTGTTTCTTTCATTAGCGTAAATTTCCTATTGAGCCTTTATACAGAAATTTCCTTTTCAACTATAGAGTTTTCCTCTGGTCTTCTTAAAAATCATTTTTACTTCTTTGTTGATATTCCCCATTTGATGAAACAATGCTATCATATCTTTCTTTAGTTATCTCAGTATTCCTTTTAATATTGCATTTACTTTCTTGAACATAGTTACAGTAGTTAATTATTGAAATAGCTGCTTTGTCGCTTTTGTCCTACATTTGGGCCTCCTCAAAGGCAGTTTCTAGTGTGTATGTTTCTTCCTGTATCTGGGCCATACTTTTTTGCTTCTTTCCAGTCATAACATGTAGTCAAAAATGAACATTTCAAATAACATATGGAAGACGTCCATATAGTGTTCCCCCCATGGAGGCTGATGGTGGTTTTATTTTATTTTATATTTATTTTTGTTAATCTGGTTATTTACTTATTTATTACTGACTTGTCATCCTAACTTTGTCAAGTGTATATTTCCCACAGCGTGTAATTTCTTTTTTTTTTTTTTTT